AAATTCCCTACAAGATAATATGCATATAAAGTCCAAAACCATGGCAAGACCTTCCCGAAAATGCCGCTACTTTACCGCACCGATGACACAATGCTGCGTCGTTAGTGGGACTGCTGTTGCTGATAGGATAGCAACAGATTAGATAGATTAGTGGGCAATAGTGTTAAATTTGTAAACGGAGGTACAGTACCACTGTATTAGAAGGAACAAACATTTTTGTCAAATTTTCATTTTAAGCACACCTGGGTGTTCATGGTATAAACAATGATGCAGCCCAGGGAATAATAGCAGGGCAGCAGTGGTTAATTTACATTGTTCACATCAGGCTTGTGTTGCCCAAACTCAGGTTCCCATCCCAGCATCTCATTTTCTTGAGTGTCATTTTTACACGCTTTACCCTGGTTAGTTTAATGTTTTCCTTCTCCTCTGTTGTTAGTTAGCTTTGGGGCATCACCCTTTGGCTCCTCCAGAAAGCCAGTGTTGAATGTAATGAAAAGCTGTTAGGACCTTGGTGGCTTCCTGTTGCCCTCCCCCTCCTACACCACGTGCGTCGGTTTGTGGTCTTTCAGCTTCGGACCGAGGTATGGAGGTGTAGAAGTCGAGCACTCTCCCGGTAAGGGAGCTGTCATAATTAAGGGAGTTCAAACTAGTTTGACTCACTTGCAAAGTCATTTGGCTGTTTGAGTGCTTTGTTTTCCTTGAATCTTTCGGTTGTCTGTATTGCTTCATTTACATTCTGGATGTTTTCTTAGTGAGGGTGGTTATAACAACTGCCTGCTCCCTATGCCTGTGTGAGGTGGGGGCCAGGTTCTGGCTCTGGTCCCTGGTACGAACATACAGGACTCTTATGGCTGACTGACTCAATAGGGTAAAAGCCTTCTCAGTAAGATATCTTCAGCAAGCCATCAAGGCCCCACTAGTAAAACGTTTCATTACATTCAAAGCTGGTTTTATTTTAATGTTAAGAATTCCACATAGTTGTGACCCAGAGGGGGGATAATGGTTTCCAAATCAAGCCATAGCTGTTGAGCTGCAATAAATGCTTAGATGATGAGGAATGACTTACAATGTTACACAGCTAATTAAGTACTAAAGAACACATTGTCATCAATAACTATTAGGACGGGTTTCGTAGATGAAGGCTCACTCCTGGCCAGAATTATTACACTGTACAGTACATGGAACTTTAAAAATATACATCACTTATGCTATTGAAAAAATATATAAATTAAATAAATGTAAAGTTTTATCAATAATAACCTAGCATCATTGTAGTGATATTAATTCCAGTCATTATGTCAACTTCTCGTGGATTGTTGATTATTAACTCTCTTACCTTCATGTGTTCTTTCACCAGCACAGCCACACCTCCACCCTTTCTCATTTTTCTGTCATATCTTCAGACCTTCAGCTCTTTGGTTTCGCCTCTCAACTGTCAGTAAACTGGTGTACAGGTTCACGAGCCTATTGGGTTTTGTCATATCTACATTTGAAACTGAATGGAGTCAGCCTTCACCACATCATTTCCTAAAACATTCCATTTGTTGACTACTCTGACACTGAGAAAGTTCTTTCTAATGTCTATGGCTCATTTGGTTACTAAGGTTTGACACGTGTCCCCTTGTTTGTGTTCCACCGATTCCTCTTGAGAATTTTGTAGATGGTGATCATGTCTCCCACTAACTCGTGTGTCTTCCAGGGACGGGAGGTTTAGTTTCTGTAGCCTTTCCTCGTAGCTCATACCTCTCAGTTCTGGGACTAGTCTGGTGTCATACCTCTGAAACTTCTCTAACTTTGTTTTGTGTTTAACTAGGTATGGACTCCAGGCTGGAGCTGCATATTCCAGGATTGGTCTGACATAAGTGGTATACAAGGTTTCAAATGATTCCTTACACAAGTTTCTAAAGGCAGTTCTTATATTGGCCAATCTAGCATATGCTGCTGATGACATCATTTTGCCCTTACACAAGTTTCTAAAGGCAGTTCTTATATTGGCCAATCTAGCATATGCTGCTGATGACATCATTTTGATGTGGACTTTTGGGGACAGGTTTGGTGTGATATCAACCCCCAGATCTTTCTAATAAAAAAAAAATAAAATGTTTATTTAGGTAAGGTACATACATACAATAAATTTTTACAAAGATTGGTTGACTTATAGGTAGAGCTAGTACATACAATGCCTAAAGCCACTATTACGCAAAGCGTTTCGGGCATATTTGTTCTCTCTCCTTGACTCTTGTAGGATTTTTTCTCCCAGATGGTGCCTCGTGTTTGGCTTCCTGCTCTCTTCACCTAATGAAGGGTATATGGGTGGGGGTGTGTAGGTGGGTGGGGGTGTACAGGTAGGTGGGGTTATGTGGATGTGTGGGGTTGGGTATATGGGTGAGTGAGGTTATGTGGATGGGAATGGATGTGTAGAGGGTGTGTTTGTGTTGGTGTCGTCATGGAGGGCTGTCGTAGGAGGCAGTAACTTCTGAGAACGGCCCAATTGGCGGGAGAGAAGGCATCTGCCCCATGGGCCACTAGCGACAGTTGGCCATGAGTGAAGTGCCACCAGGGACATCCTTAAGCCTATTTGTTCACTACTGAGTATCCTCTTTATACTAGTGACTTATGCTATGGTACTAAAGCACTGAGCATCACAGTATGCATGTGTTGATACATACACATCAGGTGATCAAACTAAGGGTTTGAGGTTTGTGAGGACTAGAGGCATTAGGCACACCTCCTCTCAGCTTAATAAAGCCTATGCAGTGACTGTCACGCATAAGGAACCTTCCAAGAGCCGGATGGAGGGTGGGCGAGGCAAGGGGCTTGCCTGCCAGTCATCTAGCACACCCCCTTAGCCCTCCCTCCACGTTTTGCTTCACCTGGCCTGCCCCACCCCATCCCATCCCAGGTGGGTGTCAGGAGGATGGGAGGGAAGAGCACTGAGGAAAGAGACCAGGTGCAGGAGGATAGTAAGGAGAACACCACCAGCACAGATCTTATCCTATAACCACACTCAGGTAATTACACAGTATATTTATACTGCATGTTGACGCATGTTTGCACTGGCCCCAGGTCAGGCCAGGGGAGTACAACTCCCAGAACCCTTTCCAGGTATGCCACCATATATATATATACATATACATACATACATACATACATACATACATACATATATATATACATATATATATATATATATATATATATATATATATATATATATATATATATATATATATATATATATATATATATAACATACAGTATAATGAACAATACAATATACTATAATATATACAAAATTATTGTATAAGTTAAAAACAATGATGGAAGGCACAATATTTGAACCTGGTAACAACATTACAAGGACAGACCAACTGGCACTTAGCTACTTTATGCTATATTATCACTATGATGTTTCTGGTAAAGACACCAGTAAGAGGGCGGTTACAAATATATATTTGGTTTGAACATCAATTCCTATATCTAAAATAATAAATGTTGGAAAATGCTTCAGTTAATTATCAAAATCATAGCAACAACATTTTGGTTGCTTTATATACATATCAAATGGAACATACTTTATGAAACGGTTTCGTTCAAGTCGGTGAAAATGGTAACGAAAGCTGCCTAACTGTCACAATGTCGTAATCATATGTAGTACTGTAATTTGATTCAGTTTGTTCTCTGCTTTCTAACTCTCACCTATAGTTTGATATCTTGCTCAAAAACCACCATAATGTAAAAAAATAGTAATTTGACAAGTCTTAGAGTTACATGTAAGTGCAGCTTAATTTAATGTGAGGTAATAATATATATATTGCACCACAATCAAGTCAGCAACCTTAAGCATCATATGTAAATATAGAACACTTAACAAATGCAATGAAATAAAAGGAAAGGCCTAGGGAAGGTGGCTGTGTGTTTATATACCTGTGGACATGATTAGAACATTATATACATTCATGTATAATGTTAAACACAACTGCATTTTGACAATTGTTAATTTTCTTATGGATATTTTCCATTCTACATAAATACCTTCTGCCATGTAGGGGAAAGAAATACTAAATCACTTAATCTTTCCATTTTATTGTCCGATGTTTCATCAGCGATACGAAAGGATATACGTTCTACACTAAAGACACAGGTATACTAAGCTTACACGCAGAAACACAGACATTTATAAAAGTGGGTTCACTCACCCTACAATTCACCTAACTCTCCTTAAGCATTCTCTCCTAACTCTCCTTAATCATAAAGCGCAACAAAGAATAAGGGGATTACTTAATACAGTATTAAGCAATGTCAATTCCAAGAGGATTCAGCTGAAGCCTCCAGGTTGCATGACTTTTGACCATGTCGTGGCATAGTGGTCTAAGACATTTCCTCGAGAGTTCCCAGAGCATAGGTTCGATTCCTCCTCAAGGCTCCTACTGATTTTCTCATTGATAATCATGTTAATGTGATTTTTGTTGTGCATGTAACCTTAGTATACCTGTGCTTTTAGTGTATGGCACAAATTCCTGAAGATGTCACATTGCTGACAAAATGCTGAAAACTAAAATGGAAAGATTAACAGATTTACTGTTATTTCATCCTCTAAGATGCTACAAGGTATTTACACAGGATACAAACTATCCACAAGAAAATTAACAACAGTTAAAATGTTATTTTGTTTAAGAGGGAGAGGGGGGGTGAGAGAAAGTGAGAAAGAGAGAAAGAGAGAGAGAGAGAGAGAGAAAGTGAGAGGGAGTGAGGGAGGGAGTGTGCGTGCGTGTGTGTGTGTGTGTGTGTGTGTGTGTGTGTGTGTGTGTGTGTGTGTGTGTGTGTGTGTGTGTGTGTGTGTGTGTGTGTGTGTGTGTGTGTGTGTGTAGTGGGCTGTGAGTGTCTGGAATGGGCTGTGGGTGTGGGTGTCAGGAGTGGGTGTGGGTGTCAGGAGTCAGTGTGGGTGTCAGGTGTGGGTGTCAGGAGTGGGTGTGGGTGTCAGGAGTCAGTGTGGGTGTCAGGTGTGGGTGTCAGGAGTGGGTGTGGGTGTCAGGAGTGGGTGTGGGTGTCAGGTGTGGGTGTCAGGAGTGGGTGTGGCTGAGCTTTATTACGCAAGATAGAAAGAGGAGAAAGCTTGGGATACTTAAAAGAAAAAATGAAAAGAAAAGTGAAATGCAAGTGAAACACTCCACAGTGTTGAAGAAGTAGGGTAACATCAACACCTGAGAGGAAAACCACAGTCAACACGCGAGATTTCTCTACACTCATCAGCTGGAAAGAAAATATACAGGAAAGAGGTTCTTTGGTTATACTATGAGACCAATTAGCTGCCACACTTGAAATGAATGATTTCAATGAAAGTAATTTAGTTTATACTGACAATGGAATCAGAGCAAATAATTTCAAACTATAATTTTTGGAAATAAGTAAGGTCAATGCAGATTTTTCCTGCAGTGGTTTAGATATTATCTGAGCACTTATAATAAGCTGCACATGCTCAGTTTAGACCACAAGTAGGAAAAACACTTTACACATTATACCTTCCAAACAACTTGTTAATTACTGTCTTTGTCAGTGTCATTCAAACCTTAGACCAAATGAATCATTTTGCATAACTCATTACAATCTTCAAACAATAAAATCAAATAATTTTATCTGTCAAAAATAGATTTTTGGGCATAAATATTATATCATATAACAAATTCTAATACAATATTAACATTTATATAAAATTTCATTTAACTTGCATGGTTCAACAATTAATTTAAAAAGAATTAACACTTTTTGGTCAGTACCGAATAACGTGGGTATGGAGATCTCGAGACTTCTCTTCACTGATAACAATTTACTTTGACATGTCAACCACTTGCTTAAAACTAGAGCTTACACAGCCGTCCGCATGTTAGACGAGTGATAGCCATACATAAAGCTGCGGGGAATAGATGTGGTCGTCTTCAGCAGCCCGTGACTTTGTTCCTCCCGAGCATGAGAGTGAGCAACCACAATCGACAAGCATCGTATCCACTCCTCTGCATTACTGGAGTCCTGGCAAGTTTAACAACAATGAACTGTACTGCTTTACACAAATACATTTGAATACACAAATTCTGCATGGGTATTTATTCATAAACTTTAGTATTAAAAGGGTAATCAAAATAGAACTACAGTGGAACCTCTATTAACGAGTTTAATCCGTTCTGGCACCGAGCTCGTTACCTGGAAAACTCGTCTTTGGAAACAAATTTCCCCATTTAAAATAAAGGAAATAAATTTAATCCGTTCCACTCCCAAAAACATCCATACTTGTATGACTTTTTTTATGTAAATATAATATTGCACATGTAAATATAAATGTTTTGTTGTAGTGTTTTAATATTTACTTTACCTTATGAAGAGTAGTTGCTGGCTTGAGGGAGACGATGGGGAGGTAGAAAGGATGAGAAGGGTTATGGTGTGGAAGGAGAATCCACCTCTGAGTCAAGCAGACTCTCTCTTCTTGGGAATTTCACCCAAATTTCATTTCAAATGTCACACAAGGATGCGTTAGACCAGCACCAAATAAAAAACTACGTTGATTACACTCGTTGTGTCAACAATATAATAGTCTTACCACGAAGATACAATACAATGCCGTTTTCTCAAATAGGCAATGTGGTTATTAAAGAAAACGGAAATTTCATGGCAAACATGTATACAATCCCCATCTCGATCGGATAAGAATTGGATTTTATAGAAATATTTGCTCAAATGACGCTTGAGAGCGGTGTTTGGGTGCATTCAAGAGAAAAAAAGTGTGTTACATTCAAGCGACATATACCTGCGAAAGTGATAACACTTTCATAAAGTGTTATCACAAAGTGATAAATTAATCAAACATTTTCACACACCAGGTTGTCACTGCTTTATCAGGGCAGCTTTTCCAAGAATGCGTTCACCTTTTCAAACATTCCAAACACTTCCCTGATCTCAGTGGAAGAGGCAGCATCCTCCCTTACCTCCTCATTCCCTTACTAAAGGTGTAAATTGTTGATGAGGACCTGCCATACTTCCTTGTGAGATCAATCACACAGACACCACACTCATGCTTTGCTATAATTTCCTTCTTTAAATCCACAGTAATTGTGTCTTTCTTCCTCTTGACAACACTATCTTTAGCAAGTAGCTTCTTTGGAGACATCGTGTGTTACAAATTGTAGTCGCAAAACCACTAAAAACCCAAAGAAAAGCTCAAATAAATCCAGAGGGATGCTTGTCGTGTGAGATACAACAACACTGGCGTCGGAGGCATCCGAGAATTTGCGAGAACCCGCGAGACGCTAGGAAGCGCCATGTGGTTTCACTCGTTAATAGAGGCGAGCTCGTCAATAGAGACAAATTTGCTGCGAGTGGCTTGCTCGTTACTGGAAAAACTCGTTAATAGAGCCACTCGTTAATAGAGGTTCCACTGTACATAGATTTCCAAACACTGCTCAGGAAGTTCTTTATTATCATATCAACTAGTTTAAACCAGATCAACTAGTTTAAACATTGGCACCTTTAAACCAGGCGCCACAATAGGCAGATGCCGAGACCAAGCCGACCCACATATTCACACTTGCTTTTAATTATATGGATGGTGAAATATTAAAGAAATTGCTCATGACTTTCGTGAGATCAAAATTTTAATATGCAGCAGTTGTATGGTGCTTAAATCTCAAAAAGCATATCTTGAGGTTATCTTGACATGATTTCAGGGCTTAGCGTCCTAGCGGCCAGGTCCTCTACCAGGTCTCCTTTTTGTTACACCCCCCTCCCCCAGGAAACAGCCTGTAGCAGCTGTCTAACTCCTAGGTATCTATTTTCTGCTAGGTGAATAAGTGCATCAGGGTGAAAGAAACTCTCCCCATTTGTTTCCATCTCCACCGGAGATCGAACCCGGAACTTCAGGACTATGAATCCCGAGTGCTATCCACTCAGCTGTCAGGCACATAAATAAACTGGAAAAGGTGCAATGGCATGCACAAAATGGCTTCCGGAATTGAAAAACAAGAGTTACAAGGCGAGACTAGCGGCGTTAAATATGCTAAAACTAGATATTAGAAGAAAAACAGGTGATATGATCACTTACAAAATACTTACAGAAATTTACCAAAGTGACAAAGAAGAATTCCTGAACAAGAGGACACTGATTCAAGCTAAGGAAATAAAGATGCCAAAAAAATATTAGAAAGTTTTGTTTTGCAGAGTGGTAGATGGTTTAGTTAAGTGAGAAGGTGGTGGAGGCCAAAACTGTGAATAGTTTCAATGTGTTATACGACAAAGAGTACTGGGAAGACGGGACACCACGAATGTAGCTCACATCCTGTAACTACACTTAGGTAAGTATCTAATAGCTCGTACGCCAAGGAAAACCAAATGAAGGAATCAGCATCAACAGTCCCTACCATGGAAATGGGAATGAAACGAGACAGACTGTCAGCCAGGATGTTGGATATTCCCTGAACATGAACAGTGCAGAAAGCCAAACCCCAAGAACTCTGCAGAAGAGCTACCTGAATCGACCAGCTCCAAAGAGGCACAGACTGAATAAACCTTCCCACCCAGTTGAAACAATGAACCACACAAGGAACAGTCCGAATGGAGCTAAATCACTGAGCCCCGAGGAATCTGAACCCTCCACAGTGCTTGCCACATTACCATAAACTCCTGCACTGTGCTATAAGCATGACAAAGGGACAGCTGCCAACGACATTGGCTGAACTGGTGAGCACTGGACACAAAGCCCCAACCTACTACAAAGGCATTCGTAAAAATATCAAGAGAGGGGGGAAAGAGGAGGAAAGCACCATGGCATCAACACCAAAAAAACCCAAAGAGGAAGCCTGTGATGCAGAAATTGGCGAAAAGACACTGGGGACTGGACCCAGCAATCGTGAGAGTGGTGAAACGGGCTGCTCCGAAGATATCAGGACAGCCTCCAGAGCCAAACCCTGTCCAACGGTTGAAACAGAAAGGCAAAGTTCAGACTCCAGCCCAGCTGCTTGAGTAACTGCAGTCACCTGGGTCCCCCTCAGCAGCAGCCAATGGCGGGACTGCAGCCAGAGCAAGGTCACAGAGAAAACAGAAAACGTCGCTGTCTAAAGAATCCCAAACTAGGCCCAACCAGGTCTTAACCTGCGATGAAACCAATTGAGACTTCATCCAGTTCACCAGGAACCTTACCCGGTGAGCTGGGAAAGAACCAGCTCCTTGGCTAGCAAACAAGCAGACTGGCTGGGAGCCCACACCAACCAGCCGTTGAGGTAGAAATAGGGGTTTGTTTTGGGGCGCCTATCTTTCTGGGTGCCAGACCCCGGTTGATGGCAGACATAGAATGCTTTCAACCACACGGGGATTTCTATAGGCCACTGCTCCTCATGATTCTCTGCGGAGGCCAGGTTCTGGCTCATGGTTCCCGGTAGGCAAGAACTCCATGCATTTTGACTGATGCCAGAAAGCTAATAGATACATATCAGCCTGGATAGCTCCAGGGAGCCGACAGAGCTCCCCCCACAAGAGGAAGTCATCAGTTTCTAATTTTTTGAACAGTGTAAAAGTTAAGTTAAATTCTTTTAACCAACTCACCTTAGCTTTTAATACGAAAGACTTGTTATCTGTGAATATTTCAAAAGCCTTGGGAATGTGTCTGCTACCACCTCTGTTGACCTTGACGCTGCGTATCTGATGCACATCAATGCCACCTTTCTCTTCCAACTTGTCCTGCTCCTGTTTATAAAATGATTCATAATTTCTGTGCTTACTGTATTTTGAAAATATATATTAATAACGGTCTTGAAGTTAATTTTGGTATTTATGATACTGTAACTGATAACATTGATGATAATATGACAGTGATATTGATGATGATTACAACAATTTAAATAATTAAACATACTGTATGTACCCAAACCTATAAGTTGTTCATGAAAAGCCTTCTCTAATAACTGTGAAGTTCCCAGCATTTTTGTAGTTTTGTAGTTTAGTGATATCTAAAACTGCCAGTGATAAAGACAGCCACGTGCTTTATGGATGCCTTCTTTCCGAATATGCCTGTTTCCCAATTTGGGCATGTTCGAATAAAATTCAGATAACTGGCGAGACAGGCCCTCTGAATAAAAATGTGCAATAAAGATGGAATTAGTTTGCTCAGTTCTAAGTTCACAATCACCTACACCAATATAATTGTCAAAAAATGGCATTTCTTTCCTATGTGTCATTATGGTGCCCCACACGCCCGTGTTATGTTTAAGCAAGAACTTTGTTACCAAGGGGCTCGAATAATAATTGTCAGTGTTCAGAATGTGCCCCTTGTTCAGCAGTGGTTCCATTAGCGTCTTCACTACACTGAAAGAAAACCCGTGAGGGTCCTGTGCGGGTATGTCTACGTCTGTACCAGAATATAATATCATATTGATCCTCATTCTGGTTTCACAGTCGCACAGTACAAAAAATTTGAGGCCAAAACTGTGCCGTTTTGATGGGATGTACTGTTTGAAGAGAAGACGTCCCTTGAAGAGAACTAGGGATTCATCAATGACAACATTCTGTCCAGGTACAAGATAATCACGAAATTTCCCTCTGATATCACTGAACACTTTTCGCACTCTCGAAAGTCGATCATTTCTATCAACATTTGCAATGTTTTCAAAGTGTTTTTACACTTTGTTTTTACATTCTTGTATAGGCCAAACTAGCCTACTGGAAGTTAGCAAGAACTTTTAATGATGCCCATCTGTGATACCAAAGGATGGCTCAGAAGGTCTTTGAACTTTCAGAATTTGACCTTTATCAGTTATTCTGGGTAGGAGTGAGTAGTCTCCAGTGACTCCCTAGCATCAATGTAACCCTGCAGGGATGTTTGAGAATTTCCCTGAGGCACTGGTGCATAAATCTTCCCCTTGCTCTGACTTTGCATGTGTTGGGACACAAGAAAATCTTACCTTAGGGAATAGCTGAATGGTAACTAAAAATATTAAGTTTTATCTATAACTGAGAAACAACAGTCTTGAATAGTATTTACCGTGCCAGCTCCTCTGTAAGAAAGGTGTGCTCCTGACAAAGTAAAGTATCTTGTGCGCCACTTTCGGAAGATTTTCCACTTGCTTTTTTTTTCCTTCAGCTGTCCTTCAATTACTGGGGTATCCTCCTAATAATGACAAAGTAATAAATACACATTAATATCATCAGACAGTAATACAGTAATAAAGTAATTGTGTATTTGAAATTCTTATTCATAGCTCAAGCCAAATTTCTGAGAAGTAATGACTTCATCAAGAAACCAGCATTGAATGTAATGAAATGCATATTTCTGGGTGAGCCCTGATGGCTCCCTAAAGCTATTTTATGCATCAGTTCATTCCGTGGAGAGAGGAAGGGACTGAGACAGACCATCAGCCAGGATGTTGGACACTCCCAGAACGTGAGATGCGAACCCTGAGAACTCGGCAGGCGAGCCACTCAAAGCGACTAACCCCAAAGAGCCCACAGACTGAAGAGACTCCCTCCCCCCCTGATTGAGACAATAAACCATGGGGGAACAGTCCAAAAGGAGCAGGATTATGAAGCCCAGAGGAATCCGAACTCTTCACAGTGCCTTTCAAACAGCTGCAAACTCGCACACTGTACTGTGCACCCAACAAAGGAGTGGGTGCCAACAACCTTGGCTGGACTGGTGAGCGTTGGTCACAAAGCCCCAACCAACAGCCGAGGAATCTGTTAATACGTCGAGAGAGGGTGGAGGAAGGTTCCAGGGAAAAACAAACACCGAAAAACCCGAAGAGGAAGCTGGTTCCTGGAGTTCGCACTCAACGATTGCCATCGTTGGCACAAGGGGTTGTCCCAAAGGAACCAGAACAGCCTCCGAAGCCAAACTTTGACCGACAGATAAACCAGAAGGGCAAAGTTCAGACTCCCACACAATTGCTTGAGCAGCTGTCAAGTCACCCGGCTCCCCCTCAACACCAGCAGCCACCATTGCTACAGCCAGAGCAGGTCTGTAGGAGGCAGGGAAAGCAACATCAACAGAGAAGCCCCAAGTCATGCCCAACCAGGTCCAAACCAGGGATGGAACCAGCTGGGACTTCCTCCAGTTCACCAAGAACCCGAACCCAGCGAGCTAGGAAAGAACCAGATCCCTGGCCAGCAGACAAGCAGACTGGCTGGGAGCCCACACCAGCCAGTCATCAAGGTAGGCCAACTCCCGAACACCTAACAAATGAAGACGTGTCACCATGACCCGAGTTAAACACTTAAAAATGTGCGGTGCAAGATTCACCCCAAATGGGAGGACCCAAAAGCGGAAAACTTGTTGCCGACAAAATATAACCAATTCCTAAACCCCAGATGGATAGGGACGTGTCAATACACATTCTGGAAGTCCAAAGATATCATCCAGCTTAAGAGCGAGATGGAGCTGGGACAATGTAGTCACCTGAAAGGAGAGGCAAGGAATGAACTGGTTCAATCGGGAAAGATCGAGAATGAACCGGAGGTTCAAACAATCCCCTTTTGGGACTGAAAACAGGTGGGAAACCCACCAAAGTGACGAGATCATTTTGACCACATCTGAATTTACCCACTCTGAGATGACCCGACAAAGGCCAGTAGTGGGAGCCTGCCTCGAATCCTCTGAAAGAGACGGGACTGACCAACTCCAACGTAGGCCAAGAGATATGACCTGAAAAGTCCACAAATCAGGAGACCATGAGCTGGCAAACAGAGATAGCCATTTGGCTATCCCTACCCCTGTCAAAGGAGTGACCTGTCAAAGGGCCAGCACAAACCACGAGATGCAGCCTTTTGATCAGAATGAACACGGTGCCAACCAGACAAAGAAGACGAGGCCTGTAGAAGCACATTCGACCCAGCTACTGGCACCACAGTAGACCCACCTCAAACCAACAATGGGCGATGCCCTGGCGTGGCCAAATACCTGGAAAAGCCAGATCGATCTCCTGAACACAACAAATCAATAACAGGCCAGCATCCAAACAGCCACAGCCAACAAAGACTGGGAAACAATATCCTCAGGAAATAACAACAAACTAAAGGCAAAAGCTGAAGTAAGTGCCAGAACCCATGCTGAGTACAAAGAGTGAGTCAGCACAGTCTGCTAACATGTGAGATGGGAGGAAAAAAAATAAACAGAGCTTATGCCAAAGCAGCAGAGACGATAACACCTGCAAGAGGAATCACACCAAGTGACCCAGCATTCTCCAAGAGCCAAACAGACTGAAGCTCTAGGAGGCTCAAGAAGTGCACAACAGAAGCCAAGTGTGAGCAGGTACACAGGTCATTGGTAACCAAATCAGCCAACAGGAGGAGAACCTGAGCATGCAGCTGCACATGACCCATGTCACAGGGAAGGACAGGAGTGAAGAGGCATGCACTGATGGACTTAAAAGAACCCCCAAGAAACACCTGCAACACACAAGATGCCTCCCACCAAGGCTTTATTGCCCTATTAGAAACAAATTAAATCATTGCTTTATTAGAAGCAATTTTATTTTCGGTCTCATTTCTAACCTAGCAGTGATTTGTTCTGTTGACTTCCTGGGTGCCTTCCCTTTGTAGTGGCAGCTATGAATAAATTTACAAAAAACTTTTCATAGTACTATACCACTGTTTCCTGTACCTCTCTAAGGGGGCCAGGTACTGGTCAGTGGTTCCAGTTAGGCCAATAAGAACTTGGTGGCTGACGGCACCTTATAGTCTGGCACCATATCAATACAGTAGCTTCAGGGAGCCACTGGGGCTCACCCAGAAATTGGCATTTCATTACATTCAATGCTGATTTTGTATTGCTAATACTCAAACAATGACGACCAAACGACACACCATTAGATGAAGAAACAACGATGTTTCAGTCCATCCTGGACCATTATCACGATGTGTGTCCACACATACAACTTGATAATAGTCCAGGATGGACTGAAACGCCATAATTTTTTCAACTTCTGGTGTGTGCTTTGGTCATCATATCTTCAGCCACATTATTGTGACTCATCATCTACTCAAACAATATTCTGTTTGAATATTAGTATATTAGTTTAAGGTATCCAGTAAAGCTGTGAACTACTGTAATGAATTGTCATACATAAAATTATTACTTTTGAGGTACAGTAGTGAGGTCTGATTAAATGCCTGATCAATTCTACATTTCCTACCATTATCAGGACTGAACTGATTGGATTGAGGGATGCAGAGTGTATTGTTGTTGTTATTATTGCTGTGTAGCCACTGTGGCAGCTATTGCTGCTGTTAATTTTGTTGTTGTGCTTCCATGAACATTTCTGCATCTCTGACATTATAATAAAATGTAAGTAAAAAGAGATATATGCTTACAAAAAACCAGCGTTGAATGTAATGAAACGCCATTTTCTGGGTGAGCCCCGGAGGCTCCCTGGAGCTTATCGGGCTAATGTGTGTTATGTTAGACCGGGACATTAGCTAAGGAGTTCAGACCTACCAGGGACCAGCGCCAGAACCTGGCCCCTTCAGAGAGGTTTCAGGGAGCAATGGCCCTGGAAAACCCCATATGGTTGGGGGTTTTCCTTATCTGCCATCGACCGGGGTTAGGCACCCAGAAAGGTAGGCGTAACAAAACAAACCCCACATGGTAAGAAACTACAACAAAAACCGAACAGAGAGGTAGAAAACTCCCTACAATCCCAAGGAAACAAGCAAACAAGCAAACATCACACTTTACTGCCGCGCCGATCGTCCGCGCAGCCCTCCCCACCCCGGGAGGGGGAGGGGGGAGCCCCGGACCTACCGCGCCGGCTGCCAAGCTCCAGTTCGGAAGCTAAGCTTCAACCAACGCGAAAAAACCGCCGACCGGTGGGAGGGAGGGTTTCCAGGGAGCCTCCGGGGCTCACCCAGAAAATGGCGTTTCATTACATTCAACGCTGGTTTTCTGTGGGGAGCCCCTACGGCTCCCTGGAGCTTCATACCCAAAGAGAAGGAAAAGAAAGGGCTAACCCGGGAGGCGGCCGCCACAAACTCTGCAACGCAAAGCCAAGACAACCGGTCGCAAACCTGCGACCCAAGGCAACAAGAACGCCCAAGAACAGACGCACATATGGATGGGCGGCCAAAAACCTGTGCGACCCACAATTCCCTGCGCCCGAAATGAGCCCGAGACGTCACCAACACAGCAGCAATTGCTGCAAACGTCTGAACAGCACGGGCGCAAAGACAGACCGCAGTAAGAAGGAAAACACTGCGGACGACCCGGGAGACCCGAGCCCTGAAAACAGGGAACGAAGGAACCGGATCAACCACAGCGCATCCCCAGGCACGGTACGCCGGCAACAGCAAAAAGCACAACTGGACAACACAGGACGCACCCCCCGGCCAAACCAAACAAGTACCAATACCCCAAGAACCCCTCCGGAAAGCAGCCGTCTCGACCGTCGCCAGGACAGAGAAAGGCTGCACACCAATAAAGCTACCACCAGTACCAAAGAGGAGGAAACTGAAACCGAAGGGGCTACCACAAACTGAGGGGAAGAGAAGAAGGCACCCTGAACAAGGACCAGGATGGCTCAGGCGACTCATGAGCAGGCCGGAGGGGAAACAAAACGCGAGAAGACGTAATAAACGTCATACAGTCTCCAAGACGAAGCTCGCAGGTGGGACACCGTCAACAAAGCCACCTGAACACCATAGAGATGGCGATACCTGCGTCAAAATACCAGACGCGAAGAGCCAAAGAGAAGGCCGAACCAGTCACGGACAGGACCGATTCGGCCTGCTGAAAGAGGCGAAGCCTCAGGAAAAACGCCCCGGGTACGGACACCTATCAAGCAGCGTCTGAAAAGAAGGCCGGGCCGGCCACAGTGGAACCATAAGGACTGTTCTCGTGGGAATGGGCTGCAACTGAGCCAGAACCCGAAGCAACAGCTGGACCGGGAGAAGAGGTACAGGTACCCCCCACCTCGACCAGGCCTGCCGAAAGCCTCCACCGTGAAGTCCTCGCAGGTGGGAAGGGCGCCACAAAACGGGCGACGCCTAGACCACGCCGACCCGAAGACGTCCATGGCCAGGAGTCCATAAGCCCAACAGAGCCAACAAAACGAATCGGCGACGACTGGCCAACCCACGAAGAGGAATGAACCGAGACAGCTGTCCACCAGGACGCAGGACACACCCCGGACACGAACCACACGGTTAACCAAACCCCCTGTGGTTCCGGCAAGAACCACCAGAGAACAGTCCAAACAGAGCTGAATGGTAGAGTACCTAGTGACCCAAACCCTCCGAAGCGCAAACCAGACAGCCATGAACACCTGAACCGGGCTGTGAGCCCGACGGACAGACAGACTCCATCAACCTCGGCCGACCTGGTGAGCACTGGTCACAAAGCCCCAGCCGAGAGACGACCCGTCCGTGAACACATCGAGCGAAGGCTCGGGGAGCCGCCAAGGCACGGAACCCCGAAAACCCCAAAGAGGAAGCTGGTGACGCAGCACCAACACCAGATCCCCAGAGGAACCCAAGGAATGCAAGAGGCGGAAGTGGAGTCTCCGTAGGAACCAACCGACGCCGGAGCCAAACCCGACTCCGCGGGCAGACAAGCACGCCGAAGTGCAAACTCCCGCACAACCGCCCAAGCAACCGCTGAGCAACCCGGGACCCCCTCCTGAACAGCCAAAGGCGGGACCACAGCCACAGTAACACTTCTGGAGGGAAGACAATGAGGGGCCCAAGAGCCTGAAACAAGGCCCAGGTCCGAACCCGGGACGGAAACAGAAGGTAAAACCTCCAGATCACCAGGAAACCAAACCCAGCGATCTGGAAAGAACCATCCCCTGGCGAGCAGACAAGCGGACTGACTGGGAGCCCACTCCAGCCAGTCGTCGAGGTAGGCCAGACACCGAATCTCAGACGCAGACAGGGCACTAAGATCCGGTAAAGATGCAAAGAGTATACAAAGTGCCCTTCACAAAATAGGGAATGCAATAAAAACAGCAAACCTGAAGCCCCACCACCAAAGCATTGTATGACAATCATATGAAGACATATTATGACATATGACAATCATTATATGACAATATGACAATTATAATCAAAGCATTATATGACAAAGAGTGCTGGGAAGACGGGACACCACGAGAGTAGCTCTCATCCTGTAACTACACTTAGGTAAGTACACATAGGTAATTACCAACCGTGCTAGCCCCAGAAAAACTGGAGAGGAACGTGCCAAGAAGTGACCTGGAGGTCCAGGTCCACCATCCATGCACCCGGCCCTAACAGAATCCGAACAGGAGACAACAGTCCTCCGAGCAGGGCAGAGGATCCAGGGCGCAGACGGAAGTAGTCCAGAAGAACTGCAGACTGGAAAAGCTCATGACTGCAAAGAGCAGACGGGAAAAGCTCATGACTGCAAAGAGCAGACGGGAAGCCCAGAAGGATGGGGCGGATCGACCACGCCCCACGCACCCACGAAGAGGAAATGACGAAGCGCAGGGAAGAAGCCCACCCCGCCAGCTCTGAACCCCCCCCAAGGGGGAGAAGCCGTCCTCCGACGCCAGCAGAGGCCGGAAGACAACCCAAAGCGCCCACCAACAGCGGGACCAAGCGAGAGGCAACAGAGCAAGCTGCTCCCCCAGCGCCCAGTCAACAGAGAAGGGAACAGAACCCCTTCAGAAAGAAAAAGTACACTACCGAAGTCATGAGGAGAGACTACGGGAATGAAACCACACTTCGCTGGAAGAGGAAGTGAGGGGAGACCTGATCACCACATACAAGATACCCAAGGGAATCGACAGGGTTGAGAAGGACAGGCTATGTAACACAAGGGGCACACGCACTAGGGGACACAGGTGGAAACTGAGTACCCAAAAGAGCCACAGATAGAATTAGTTTTTTTTTTTTTTTTTTTTTTTTTTTTTTTTTTTTTTTTGGTCAGAATGGGAACGGGAAAGCACTAAGAAGTAATGTGGCGACTCCTCACACAAGTAACGAGGCTGACCCCCATACAATGTCACATGTAGACATGACAGAGCCCAAGAGGCACAGGAACCGATACACCTGTTGACGGACGGTTGAGAGGCAGGACCAAGGAGCCAGAGCTCAACCCCCACAAGCACAACTAGGTGAGGACATATATTGTAAAAGCACAAGCCGCCGACTAGTGGCAAAGAGCACTACGCCGGCCAGGCAAAGAAGGCACAAAACTGCATCAAAAGGCCCACCTCGACAGCAAAACCACAAAGTCCCAGCACAACCACAACATGTGCCAAGACCCAAAAAGCTCAGTCTGCAAGCCAGGAAGACCCCGGAACCCCAAAAGGCAGAACCGGGTCACACGAGGAAACAAAGTCCCCTGAACCCACAAAAGGGGGCCC